CTGTGAAGCTTCGGGGAAGCAGGGAGGACAGTGGAAAGCCCTGTTCTATTGCTGAGCTGTGTGAGGTCATGTGACATTTGGAGTAGAAGCTACTGCCTCCCATTCTATGTACCAGGAGTCCTTATTATCAGACAGGTGCACCTTAGATGACATTCACAGCCCTGGAAGTACTGAGCCTCCTGTGACCTTCACTTCATTAAAAAAAATTACAACTGTTTACTGTAACTAATTCACACAATGCAGATTCTTGTGAAGTAAATAAAAAAGTTGACCTTCCTTTCCAGTAGTGTCAACTTTTAGCTCAACAGATTGTTTAGTTTCTTTCCTTCTTTCTTTCTATCTTGGCTTCCCTCCTAAAGATCAGCACTTTGGGAGGTTGAGGTGGGAGTGTTGCTTGAGGCCAGCAGTTTGTGATGAGCCTGAGCAACAAAGCAAGACTTTGTCTCTACAGTAAAAAAAAAAAAAAAAAAAAATTAGCCAGGCATGGTGGTGCATGCCTGTAGTCCCAGCTACTTGGGAGGCTGAGGTGGGAGGAAGGATGGCTTGTGGTCAGGAGTTCAAGGCTGCAGTGAGCTATGATCTTGCCACTGCACTCTAACCTGGGACAGAGCGAGAACTTGTCTCCAAAATAAATAAATTACTTAAAAATAAATTAATTAGGGCTGGGCGTGGTGGTTCATGCCTGTAATTCCAGCACTTTGGGAGGCCGAGGCAGGCGGATCACTTGAATTCAGGGGTTCAAGACCAACCTGGACAACATGGTGAAACCTCATCTCTATTAAAATGACAAAAAAATTAGCCAGGTGTGGTGGTGCGTGCCTGTAATCCCAGCTACTCGGAAGGCTGAGGCAAGAGAATCTCTTGAGTCCAGGAGGCAGAGGTTGCAGTGATTCGAGATTGAGCCACTGTACTCCAGCCTGGGCAACAAAGCAAGACTCTGTTTCAAAAAAAAAAAAAAAAAATTAATTGAAGAAGGCAGTACATTCACATGGTTCAAAATTCCAAAGTCACAGAAAAGTAGAGCGAAAAGTGTCCCTTCTTCCCTAATTCTGTAGCTACATCTGAGGTTTCCTCTTCTGAGGCAACCAGTATAAACATGTCCTTGTATCCTTCTAGAAATATTCTCTGCCCATCCAAGTTTTCCACTGGATAGTACTGAATAGTAACAGAACTACTCAGAGCACACGCACAGGCCTTTCCTCTAAGTGAGCCAAGGCTAGGGGTTTGCCTCTTCATCTTCTTTCCCAAAGAAATGGCAGCCACAGGAGTCAGTGTGACTTGGGGGTGGGAGGGATTTCCTCTTGGTTCTCTGGCAGATCACTGAGAGTGAAAAGGAGCTGTGGAGGGGGTAGGATGTGGTCTGCCAGGTGTCAGGTGCTTTTTATTTACAACAGAACTCTTCTTGCAATAAGGAGGGATGACTGAAGAGATGGTATAACTATGGCAAAAGAAATCATAGCTGTCATTTGTGATAGCAGACAAAGTTTCAATAAAGGGCCTTCTCTAAAGAGGACATCGTGTGGGATGTAAACTTGGGAGAAGAAAGCTGTTTTATGTAAGTTGCCCAAGGTATCCCTTCATACAATTGAGCCACTCCAAAGCTGAATCGTAGGGGTCCAGAAATCAAAGTGGGAGCAAACAAGAGAGCTGGAGGGCTCCCAGGTGGCTTTAGGAGATTGACAGCAATGGGGTGGGGCAAAGTCTGGGGATTCAATTAGACTGGATCTCATGTTTGATTCTAAAGGTAGAATACCTTCAATGAAGCATAGGAGGGAGGAGCTGTCAAATCTGGAGGATCCACACAACAAAAGATTCAAATAAACCTATTCAGCGAAGGGACAGTTTTTGAAAGAAAACTGGGAGAGGCAGAAGGGTCTGAAGGCAAATTATCTGGGCTAAAATACTTCTTAGTAGTGTGAACTCGGGCAAGTTAAACTCCTTGAGTCTCAGTTTCCTAATAGGGATAAGACACAGAGAGGAATGATAACTGTCTCTCATTGGAGTGCAGTATGATCAAGTTAATCACCAATGAGAGTTGACAACAATGCCTGGCACCTAGTCAGCTAACTCAATGCTTTTCAGCCATGACTGTTTTAATAAAGGCCTGCTCAGGCCTGTTTCCCTGGCATAGACATACTTGGTGATGAATCTGGAAAGGCAGAATCAGAGAGGGATTTCAGGTCGTAATAAGAGGGGGAAAACGGAAGGAAAAGGGAGTGAACAACAGCACAGCAAAAACACACCAGAAGAATGAGAAAAAAGGATTCAGAATGGGGCTATTTCAGCAAAAACAGCCTTGTTGCAGGTCCATGGTGTTCAAAGCTACACTGTGTAAGGGAATGTCTCTTGGAAATTAAATGTCTCTTGGAGAAAATTTAATTTCGGTTGAAGAAGTATTTTGTGGGTGTGTGTGCCCACTTAGAGCTCAAAGTATATTGCCAAGGAGGGTGGCCAGGTTGCATACAAGGAAATCAAGATCTATAAAGTCAGGCAACTTGAGATCAAGTCCTAGCTCTGTCCTAAGTGGCTGATGCTACACTGAGCCAAATCAATCAACAACTGTGTCATTTAAAAAAGCGGCCAGACTATTTCCTAGGCTCTACATGTATGTAACATTTTCTGATGCTAACCCAGGGGCAGAGGCTCAAAAGAATTTAAGAGTTGTTTCCCTCACCCCTAAGCCCCTCCCCTCAAAAAAAATCCGTTAAAACTAAGCATCTGGTGTTCCTTTCATTTTCCCCAGGTCCCCTGCCAAAAGGAGCAAGATTTCTAAATACTGGCAACTGGAGAGAGCTACCTCTTTTATTTTTTCCCCATCCATTTCAGGAAAGTTTAGGTTTTCATTTTTTTCCTATGGTCTGCTTAGAGTTGTTTCCAGCTTAAAGTAGGAAGAAGTAATGAAAAAAGTGAGGTTTGCCGAAAGGAAATGAAGTTTGTTTTGCCTGGTTCTCTGGAAGGAGGCTGAAAAGGTAGACCACGGTTTTTCAGGTTCAAACTGCTACTCTAACAAACATTGTCCTACAGGGTGGAATCCAGTTAACCGGTATTGAGATTCATTCGCTAAGGCCTCAGGACGCTGGACATTCTTTTTAATTTTTTTAATTTTTATTTTTTGATTTCCATAACGACAGCTCACAAGACACTAGACATTCTTTTAGGGTCTCAGGTAAATGGGCAACACGCAGTCTACAAATCCTCAAAATAAATCGCATCTCAATTCGGATACTGGGGCTAGGGAATGTGCTGGTGGTAAAACCATTGGTCCTGACTGTGTGACCTTCATGGGAGGCCTGGGTGCTTAGAACAAATATTTTGAGGATATGGCTGCTTGCCCAAGGGCTGTGGGCCTGCATCTTGTTTGCTCATCATCCTGTCAGTCATTTTCTTCTTTCCTTTTTTTAAAGACAAAATCTGAACTTAGAAACACCGAAGCCAGAGCTTTTTCTAGATGCGAAGCCACTATTTGTGCGACCCTGCACTAACGATTCTAGTCAGGCCTAGACCATACCAAGCACCCTACAGCTAGCCTGGAGGGGTCCGCACTGCGGGGAGAAAAGCAACAGCTCAGCTCCAACCCCAAAGGTTCCATCACCAGCCAATCGTGGGCCGGAGCTTCTCAAGAAAACCAGAAACGCCTACGGGTAGTGAACGGCACTAAGGCCAACCTATCCGCACGAAGGAGGCGGAAGGGGTGGGGTTGAAATTACCCAATAGGATGGAAGTA